TGTAGAGGGCTGGAGCACTGGCCACATCTGTAGAGGGCTGGAGCACTGGCCACATCTGTAGAGGGCTGGAGCACTGGCCACATCTGTAGAGGGCTTGTCTTGCAAGCACAGGGGTCTGAGTTGGATCTCCAGAACCCGTTTTTAAAATGCTAGGTGCAGCTGGGCAGTGGCGGCTCACACCTTTAATCCCAGCACTTGTGAGGCAGAGCCAGGCAGATCTCTGTGAGTTTGAGGCCAGCCTGGGCTACAGAGAAACCCTGTCTAAAAAAAAAAAAAAGCTAGATGCACACTTGTAACCTTAGCTCTGGGGAAGCAGAGACAGCAGATTTTGAGGCTGCTGGCCAACTAGTATATCTGACAAGCTCTAGGCTAGAGATACACACACACACACACACACACACACACACACACACAATGAGATAGGCAGCTGAGGAATGACTCCATAGGTTGTTGTCTGGCCTCCATACACACAAACACCCTCCACACATATTAAGACCCCCACACAAATACACATAATAATTTTGTGTGGTTTATATCTATGTGTGTGTGTGTGTGCGCGCGCGCGCGCGCGCGCGCGCGTGCGTGTGAATGTCTACACACGTGTGTATGTATATGGAGAGGCCAGAGGTGGACATCAGGTGTCTTCAATCATTCCCCTTCTCACTTTTGAGTCAGGGTCTCTCACTGAACTGAAGCTTCACTGTTTCACCAAGGCTAGCTGGCCGGGGAGCTCCAGCCATCTACCTGCCTCCATCTCTTACCACAGCTTACACCTTGGACTGTGTTACTTAGCTACGTGATCTCATTCAATGCTTTTCCACAGCTCAGTGATGCAGACCCTTTGGGGACCCTGATTTTACAGGAGGAACATAATAAGGCTTTGAGAAATCAAGTGCCTCCTCTCTCGTGGTTGACAAAAGGAAACATGAGAGTCATACAAACTTCAACATCCAAAGTCTAAACTGTTAAGTTATGGTGATATTTCTTAGACCTGGTCACAGGGCTAAGAAACGCTTCGGTTAGCACTAAAAGCAAGTCAGGGATACCCAGTCTAGTACATTACACCACCACACTCTAGAGAAAAATATGAGAAAAACAAAAATAAAACTAACTATTGAACCAAAGTGTCCCCACTATAGCCCGGAGCTGTCTGGCCCAGGGAGACCCTGTTGTGGCCATGCTTAGTGTTGTAGAGTATTATTATTTTAAGGTGTGTTACTTTTGTTTATGTAGCATTTGTTTAACTCTGTGGAGCTGTGTTCCTGTGCCTAAGACACCTGATGGTCTAATGAAGAACTGAACGGCCAATAGCAAGGCAGGAGAAAGGATAGGTGGGGCTGGCAGGCAGAGAGACTATATAGAGGGAGAAATCTGGGAGGAAAAAAGATCAAAGAAGGAGCCAGAGAAGAAGGAGAAGGACTCCAGGGGCCAGCCACCCAGCTACACAGCCAGCCATGGAGTAAGAGTAAGATTCACAGAAGTAAGAGAATGGGAAAAGCCCAGAGGCAAAAGGTAGACAGGATAATTTAAGGTAAGGAAAGCTGGTGAGAAGGCTAAGGCCGGATATTTATACGTAATAATAAACCTCTATGTGTGATTTATTTGGGAGCTGGGTGGTGGCCCCCCAAAAGAGCAAAAAAAAAGTCAGCTCTGCTTTAGCAAGTGCCTTGGGATCGGATCAATGATCAAATCCACAGAGCCTATCCCACTACAGACCTGTGACTGGGGTTAGAAAGGATTCTCTCGTTAGCTCTTCATAAACCTTCTATAAGGTTCTGTGTTAAGAAGGTATCGTGGGATAAGAGGCCCAAAGTTCCCGTTTGTCAAAACTGCTTCATTCCCTCAAGCATTCAGTTTTTCTCCATGAATTCTCAAATGTTAATGACCAGAGGATGTTTCTTCAGCTCTTTTTCTCACAGAAGTGTTTTGTTGTTGCTGTTTTGGGATTTTGTTTGTTTTGCTGTTTTGTTTGTTTGTTTGGTGTGTGTGTGTGTGTGTGTGTGTGTGTGTGTGTGTGTGTGTGTGTGTGTGTGTGTTTGAGACAGGGTTTCTCTGTGTACCCCTGGCTGTCCTGGATCTCTGTAGACCAGGCTGGCCTCAGAACTCAGAGATCTGCCTGCCTCTGCTCCACCACCGCCCGGCACACAGAAGTGTTTTGTAATGCAGATGTTGTAAAACCTCTTACAAGCCTGGATGCTGTGCCTGGCAGGTCCCTGGGGAACTCACTTTAGCTTTAGCTGGATTCCCATGGTTAAGGCGCCTCCTCTTGACACAGCCCCCCGCTGTGGGCTGGGTTCCCATTCCCATCCTGGCTGCTCCCTGCAGTGAGATTCTGCTCTTCCACATTTTTTCATTGATTGATTGATTGATTGATTGATGTCAAGCCACCTCCTCTAAACCGCTGCTTTCACAGCGTCTCCTCTGATGGCGGATGTTTGACGTCTTTAACAAGCTTAGTGCCTTTGTGCCCGCAGGCCATGCCCCTGGAAAATGAGCTGCTCTGGGCGTCATCTGCATCTGCAGGAGCTCATGATACTGTCCCCGAATGATGAGAAGATTCGGGTTCAGAGAGTCCAGGTGACTGACACTAGATCCCACACCCGATGACGGATGAACCTGAGCCTCTAACCTGAACTTTCATTTTTTTTTTTTCAGTTAAAAAGAAACAAGACGGGGGGCCGCTGTTTGTATCAGAAAGTATACAGTTTACAGCAACACTGAGCAGAAAGTACAGCCTCCCCCATGTTCCCCCTGCAATTATGTTTTTCCTTTCTTTAAAATTACTTTGGAGGTCTTTTAAATTTAAAAAACTAGTCCTAAACTCACTTTCGAGAATAAATGGGTAAAAATGGCTAACATACTTTAACAGAGAAAGAGCAGCCAGTGCGGACTTGTTGCACAGATTCAAGAGAGTAACAATTAGCATTTACTTAGTACTACTCGTGGAAGAGTCTTTACAATAACCTTACATCAAAATGCCTGTTGTTGTTCCCATTTTACAGATGAGAAAAGTGAGGCACAGGGGAAAAACAGGTGATTTTTCTCAAGGTCACTGGAGTTGATTGAGCTGGGATTTTACCCCTATCTGTTAGACACCTCGTCTGCCCTTCTCATGTTTACATAGCCTGGATAACAGAAGTATGGTGAAGACTTGATGTACGTAAGGATGATACAGTGGAACCAAGACAGATCATCAGGGATGGGGGGTGCGTTCGGTAAATGGCCCTAGGGAGACAGTGGGGTGTCATCGTTGTTCAGCACACAGGTCTGGGGATCAGACAGCCCTAAGTGAAGACAGCAGCTCGCCCACTTCCTAGGGCTCTCCTTGGCATACAAACAGCAGGCAACTTGGTGGAGAGGGCCTGGCTAGTGGGCACGGGGTACCGGAGTCAATTCCCGGGATGACACACACACCACACCAAACAGAAGAAAACCTCACGGGAGTGCGTGAGGGTTTCACACTGGGCCTTACCCAACATGAGCCTTTTGTAGACTTTATTATTATCGGCACTCGGCAATCATCACCATCGACAAGGCAGGCAAGGAGCTGTCATCTCACTACCTTACACCATATACACAGACGTTCCCGTTAGCTGGGGGGTGGGGGTAAGAGGGGGGCTGCAATGGCGATCAAGGCAGTAAGGGGCTTGCTGTGCGAGAACGAAGATGCTCGTTTAGTCCCTAGATCCCACCCGAAAGCTGGGCGTGCTGGGGCACACCTGTAACTCCAGCGCTGGGGAGGCAGAGGGAGAAGAACCCCTGGGGCCTGCTGGCCGCCCCGTCTAGCAAAATTGGCCAGCAGCGGGTTCAGTGAGAGACCCTGTCTCAAAAAGAAGGTAGTCTTTAATTGCAGCAGAGGCTCTCGGATCTCTGTGAGTTCAAGGCCAGCCTGGTCAGCCAAGAGAGCTCTAGGTTGGTCAGGGCCGTGCCTCGAGATCCTGTCGCAAAAACAATAACAATAAAATAAGGTGGAGAACAACTTAGAGGGACAGTCTGCGTTGACCTGTGACCTTCTTGTGCACCGGCATACATGCTTGCACACTCTCGCATGTGAGAATATGCGTGCACACACAAAAAGAATAGAAAGTAGGCCAGCACCAGGGAGACAGAGGCGGGTGGATCTCTGTGAGTTCGAGGCCAGCCTGGTCTACAAAGTAAGTTCCAGGACAGCCAGGACTACACAGAGAAACCCCGTCTCAAAACACCACCACCCCCAATTTTTTTTTAAAAAATTAATTAATTAATTTAAAATAAGAGGTGGGGCTTCTCTTACATTGTTATGGAGGGCTAGTAGACATGATTTTCTGGAAAGCAAATGGCAATATGTCTCTAGAACCTTAAATGCTTGTATCTTCTTAACAAGCTCTGCTTCCAACAGACTCTCTTCAAGAAGACCCACACACACACACAAACACAAACATGTTCAGGGTGGTTGTAGAAATGTAGATGGTTTAAAAACCCTCAGGAGCCACCTCTGCTTGGGAACCTGAGCAGCCAGTTAACATTTTGCTTCTGAAGAATTTAAAAGCACAGGGAAATCTTTGTGGCCAAATGAAGAGAAACAAAATAAAGCAAGATCAAATGGATATTCAAAAGATATTTCTAGGGCTGGAGAAAGAGCTTAGGGGTTAATAGCACTGGCTACTCTTTCAGAGGATCCAGGTTTGAGTCCCAGCACCCACATGGAGGCTCATAACCGTCTGTAACTCCAGTCCCAAGGGATCTGATGCCTTATAAATATACATAAAATACATGTTACGTATCTACTGCATATATGTGTGGAGGACTGGATGGAGAGGTGTATGCATGCATGTTTGGAGAAAACGGTTAAAGAAATATGCCAAAATGTAAAAATAGTATTATCCTGGTAGAAAGATTGTTTTTAATTCCTGTCTTATACTTTCAATTTAAAACAAAACTAAACACTGAGCATGTATTAATTACATTTGCAGGCTACCCCCGCCCGGTGTCACTCATAAGAGACCGGGCAAGGACTACGCACAAAAACAGTAGGCGTTCTGAGTTTTATGTCTAGCTCTGCCTATCTGTAGCATAAGGCTGTGAGCAGAACGCTACACTGCAGGGTACATTAATCTCCTCATCATTAAGAGAGAGATGATTGCAAACCTCTCTCATGGGGCTTCTGGGAGGAGTGTGGGTGTCACGTGCCAAGCGTCAGGCCCGCTGTGTAGCGCAAAGTAATCTCCGATTGTGCCCACCATTATCCCAGCCTCCGCTGATCTCAATGTCCTGAAATGTTCAGGCCCCTGTTGCAGATGACAAGTTCCTTTCACATTGTTTTCACACTAAAAACAACTATAAAATAACACCCTAGCTGCCTTTTATTTCTTTGAGACCCGCCTTTCCTCCCTCTCTCCTCCACATTTTGGAACATGACGCTGTCTTAGTCACCTGACAGAGCCGACAGACTGACCACCTTCATCATGAATCTCCCACGCATTACCAGGAAGTGGAGAGAAGCAGAAAGCAGAGGAGAGGAGGGGAGAGGGGAGTGGAGGGGGGGGGACAGGAGAGGGGGTGGGGGAGGGGAGGAGAGAGGAAGGTGTGTTTGTATATATATATTTTTTTCACATTACAGACATGACGGCAGCGCGATGTGATCACGTGACCCAGGCCCCGTGCCGCAGGCTCCCACATTACTGGAGGACGAAAGAGGCTCCTTACATTTGAACTGTGGCGACCTGCAGTCTCTTCACGGCTGTACTGAGGTCTGCCTTGAATTTCAGCATTTCCCATTTTGAGCAAGGAATCCAACCTTTAAAAAGACAACACACGCATTCAACACCAAAGAGGCAGTTTAAAACATATATACCCCACCAGGACTGGCTGGGTAAACCATGCCACAAGTCTACCAGAGCCTATTTGGAAAGGAAGACATGCCCAATTGTGTTAAACTATGCATAATTGTGCCCTTAAAACCATCTCTTCTCGGGGCTGGAGAGATGGCTCTGAGGTTAAGAGCATTGGCTGCTCTTCCAGAGGACCTGAGTTCAATTCCCAGCACCCACATGGTGGCTCACAACCATCTGTAATGAGGTCTGGTGCCCTCTTCTGGCATGCAGGCAGAACACTGTATACACAACAAATAAATAAATCTTTAAAAACAAAAACAAACAAACAAAAACGATCTCTTCTTGAAGGCATTTGCACTGAAACAGAATGAGAGCTCTAACCCCGAGTGGGTCAACCCCTACAACGCCATCTGAGTCTGTAGATCAGAGTCCCCATCACCCCTGTGCCCAAGACTGGGGACAGAGTCCGATCTGCCAGAGAGAACTCTGGGTCAGTTGCCATCGGATGGATTTTAGGTCTAACGAACTTGAGGAATAAACTCAACATCCCCGCGCTTTTTATTTTTTCCCTCATGTGTAAGATGAGGCACTTGAGTGAGGTGGTATCCAAGCCTCTCTCCGTTCTAATCTTCTCTTGTGAAAATTCTGTCCTTGTAGTAAACAACTACAAAGGCCCCTGGGCAGTTTAGGGAGGGGAGGGGAGGGGTTTAGAAGAGAATCTACCATTTCCTCATTTCATCCCACCAAGTCAATAAATGACAGGGAAATATGGTGGCTCCTCCCACGTGAGCACCATCATCACCATCTAGAATGTTGCCTTGTACAAAGGGAAGAGAGGCAAGTCTCCAGAATGACATGCATGTTCCATCTCCAGGCCCTTGCCTATAGGATCTGCTCTTCGTGTTATTTGTTTTTGTTTTTTTTAAATAACTTATTTATTCTTATTTTATGTGCATTGGTGTTTTCCCTGCATGTATGTCTGTGTGAGGGTGTCAGGTCCCCTGGAACTGGAGTTACAGACAGGTGTGAGCTGCTATGTGGATGCTGGGAATAGAACCCTGGTCCTCTGGAAGAGCAGTCAGTGCTCTTAACCACTGAGCCATCTCTCCAACCCCCTGTTCTTCATTTTACCCATGGCTTTAGTTGAAACCAGCAGGGGGCAGTGTGGCACCTTTGTGTTCACTACCTCCTTGTCCCAGGGTAGCCTAGGTTGGGAACAAACATCACCCTCTCTCACAAGACTATGGAATTTCTTCCCTCCCACTGAATGTGAACCAACTAAAGCTCCCTCACCATCCCTGAGCCGATAAACCAGGTTGACCAACAATATTACTCTGTCTTCCAGGCTATCCATGACTGGGTAGTCTGACTCAAACAGAGCTCATTGAGCAGTACATGGGACTGACATGTGATGCCGAGAGAAAAGAACCCTTCTTCCTAAGCAAGGAACAGATAACTTTAAGAAAGCAGGGACCATTTTCCTCTTCATTTGGTGGGAGCTTGACTATGGAACTCGGCTGCACAGAGGCAGCAGAGCTCCTGGGAGGCTGAGTCCCGCACCTGCCCTGGCCTCTGCTCCTACAGTTCTTCCTTTGCTTCTTGTAAATGATCCCCCTGCTCCCGGGACATGGACAAAGAATTACTGCTTAAGCTACTATGAGTGGAACTGCCTTTTACCAGCAAAAGAGTCCAGACCCAACCACGATCACCTTCAATCAGGCTTATCTTCATAAGATCATAAGAACTAGTCTTGTCTTAGAGACGAAGATTAAATGGACTGCACGCTGGTTTCTGTGGGACCAGATAATGTCCTGGCCGCTCCCAATCCTCAAACCTGCCCTTTGATGACCAAGGCCTGGATCCTTCTCACAGATTACAGAGGGAGCTGGCCACTGACCTGTCATTTGATTGCCTATGAGACACTTCCTGCCTTTGGGGCACTTGAGGAATTCCTGGATATTTACGTGTTGGAGTTCTGGGGTTCTTCTGTGTTTTTTCCTGCTTGGTGTTTGTCCTATGTACTCTGCTTGGATGCACCAATTTTCTCAACACCTGGCCCACCCTGAGAGCCATGTCAGCCCCAGATTCTGATCCCTGAATACATACTGTGCAGATGGATGGGAACATGGAGACACACCTGGTATCCAAGCGCTTCTCCAAGAATCTCTTAACGTTTCATACGGTTCTTAGGTTTAAGATAAAGGGCCATAGAAAGCAAGCCCGTGGGGCCCAGAGAAGTCCATCTTACTTCCCATGCATTCTCTGACTGCATAGTCCCTGGCTAGATCAGCACCAAGGTTCCCCTTTCCTGACATTCATATATCATCCACTTTGTAAGCGTATCCCAGAGTCCACAGCCTCCTTTCATCTTCTGGAACCGTACTCTTCCTTGGGGCGTCTCCTTGGTAACATTTACAGAGTTTAAGAATGCAAGTTTGCCTTTGGACACACAAACCTTTGTTCTTGGTTCAGAGTAATTTGATACTATGACAGAAGGGTCCTGGGCCTCTCTCTTCCAAGAATATGAACATTATTGCCACCAAACCTGGCTTCTCAGAACCATGAGGGGTAAGCTCCCAGAGTATAGGGTAGTGATGTCAGAGATAGCTAACTCAAAGGGGAGGCCTTTGACAAGCTTACTTGGAACCTGGGAACTTCAGCGGCTCCCTCTGATGGAGGATGCACTAAAAGGACAGCTTAGAAAAACGTCTTGAACTTGGGAAACAGAAGTGACCTCACTCTGATTGCATATCAGAGTTGACCCTGATGAGTATGGGGTCTTACCATTTTGAAAGCAGAACTTGGATTTTAGTGAGAAGTGAATGACCCCGGATATACAGCTCTCCTGGGTGGTCTGGGATACCTGGGGGTGACCAAGTAGAGCTAGAAGGAGGGAAGGTGGAGAGATGTTAGGAGGAGGTGAGGAGAAGGAGGAGCTAAACAACACTAGAACATCAATGGAAAACCAAATGATTGGCAAGTAACATTCCTACCCAGATGCTAATAAAGATTTCAATAAACACCAATAATAGTCTGGTGTGGTGAGATGTGCCTTTACTCCCAGCCCTTGGGAGGCTGAGGCAGGCAGATCTCTGTGAGTTCAAGGCCAGCCTGGTCTATAGAGTGAGACCCTGTCTCAAAAAAAAAAAAAAAAAAAAAAGCCAATAAAATAAGTCCCAATAATAACCCATAAGATGTTTTCAACCATTGGTAACTTAAATGAAACAGCTTTTAAAACTGGAAATGCCTCTGCATAATTTCGTGATTCCTTAAGAAACTGTGAGATGCCAGGCGGTGGTGGCGCACGCCTTTAATCCCAGCACTTGGGAGGCAGAGCCAGGCGGATCTCTGTGAGTTCAAGGCCAGCCTGGGCTACAGAGTGAGTTCCAGGGCAGCCGGGTCTATATAGAGAAAACCTGTCTTGAAAAA